CACCAGCACATAGATTGACACCAGCCTGCGCCGTCCAGGCGCCCGCGCAGAACGTCTTGATAAATTAATCAAATCACAAGTGTCTGTTGCCGTCCATAGCTGGATCATTTGCAGGAGAAGCGATTGCATTTCAATGCTGTTTAAGATGAGTTGTCAGCACCTGTCGACATAACAGGACCTTCCATGCACATTTTACAAAACCGGGCCCCATAGAGGCGTCAGCGACTATAAAGAATCGGAAGACAACGCAGTTCGGCCTTCTCTGGACTCACGAGAAAATCCCAACTCTGACCTTAAGTGTGATGTCAATGCTGGCAGGATAAGGCATCAACAAACGATTTTGACAAAAGGGATGAGGTAGGCCTGTAACCATGAAGCAAGCGGTCAAAGTGGCATTGACCGGGCGTCGGAGGCCGGGATTTGACAAATAACGCATCAAACTTGCAAACGCGATCAGATGAGCAAATTCCAAAATTCGCCGGACAATATTACTTGGGAAAAAGAAGAGGAAAGCAAATAAAACATCAAAATTAAAAGTGTCTTACAGAAAACCGAGTAGAACCTACACCAGCAAGAAGTTAGTTAGGGGGCAGTACAAAATACACAAGGCGAATTGAGTTGTAGATGGGTAGGATGAGGGAGGAGGGGTGGGGGCGAGGGACCAGGTCCAAAGTTAACTCAAGCCTTCCACACCGAAAAGCAATACCAGGGGTATTGAGCAAGTTGGGTGACATTTAATTTTTTTGCAAAAATAACATGAAACTGTGTGGTCGAGCGCAAAGTTAACTCTTCTCCCGGAAAGCACACTCCCTCGTTATCTCTAAATGCGCGAGTGGGCGCAGCAAGTACTTGCAGTGGATAATTCAATGACACATTTTTCAATATTACATAAAACCCAGAGAGGAGCACAGAAGTTAAGGGACTAAAAACTAGGTGATTAGCTACCAACTCATTAAGTGGTATCCTCGTGGTCACTTTGAGACAGCAAACAGCACTGAGGTGCATAGAACTTCTGTTGTATATTGGCGCTTCGGAGTCCCGCAGGGGTTTGGGTGGGGGCCAGGGAAACAGTGATCGGATGCAGGGGGCAGGGGGGGGGGGTAATACGCGCAAGCCCGTTGGCAGGCCAGCACAAAGGGATCGCCAGACGGGAGAGATAGATGAAGGGGAAGAAGTCAAGTCAAATCACGTCAAATGAAATGGGGTTACGGAAGACGGCGCAGGGTTGAGGTCTCGATTACAACTTTTGGCAAATGAGCGGCCTGGATTCGCACCACTGAACCGCATCTTCATCTTCAAATGACACGTCTGGAGGGGGGAAGAAAACATGTTGGCAGGTGAACCGCTCGAGATCAAGTATGCCAAATAGATAAGACTTCCTCACCACTCAAGCAGTGTTCAAGGTTATAAAAAATTACTTCTCTACCAGGAGCAGGTAAATAAATGGAAGCCAAAAATACCAGGCCTTTGTGGGTATAATTTAACCCTTAAATTTGCCGTCAAAGTCGTGAAACGTGACCCAGAGGGATGAAAGGTAAAGTAGGCGGCGACGGGATTAGGCAAGGGCAGCACGAAATATCCAATAAGGTGAAGCCTCTACCTTCGCCAGTCTGGCATAACGTCCGGTCCAAAATTCGTACGAATTGACTATCATTTCCCCCACATTTCTCTTCTTTCCCCCATTTCTTTTTTCTTCTCCCTTCCCCTATTTCTAAAGCAGTCCACTTTTCTGTGAAACAATTTGGTAACTATGGTTAACGGCCTACAAAAAAAGTAGACGCTGCAATTGATGAAACATGATGCCAGAGAACTAGAGAGATGTCTGAACGCACAGCAAGTGAATATACATGCCAAGATTTTAGCATCCAGGCCATTTAGTTTGATTTTCTGCAGTAGTCCACGTCCACCCTGGCACCTGTGCTTCCCGTGGGACGTATTTTTCGCTTTGTTTTAAAGCTCTACAATTTGCATAAACTGGATATATTTATCAGTTCCTTGGTGTAGGCTTTTTTACTGGCATAATTTCACCTTGCACACGATTGTCACCGTGTACGCGCCAACCTCAGCTGCCAAGCAGGGCGATAAAGAGACCTACTCGCAGTTGCACGAACTATTTAGAAGACTCCTCGCTGGGGACTGGAACGTCCAGACTGGATCCAGCGACTCCTCAGGAAGTCACCTCATTGGCCGTTTTTGGCTTGGTTCTCGATGCAACAATGGCGAGGGGATGCTGAATTCTGTTGACCTGAACTGACTGTTTGTGAGCTACATGTGCTTTCGACGTCGCCACAAACATCTGCTGACGCGGTATTCAAATGACCGCTATACGGGCAGTTAGATCGAGTAAACTATAGTCAGTTCAAGGTTGCGAAGCTAGGTTTACGATAGCAGACCCATGTGTGGCGCCATAACTGGTAACACCCATGGGTTGGGCCATGTTCTTGTCTGCTCATGCCTGAAGGCTCACCTCCAATCTGCGCCCGCAATGCGATGTGAGAGACGCCTTGATGTCGCAAAACTTCAACAACCCATCACTGCCGAGGTCCTAAGCACGGAAATTCGGTTCCGCTTTACGACGCGAGCCGATGGAGAAGGTGCTGGCCGATGGTCATCACTGATGTCATCAGTCTATGGGGCAGCTGAGAAAATTCTCGGATTCACCCAGCAGCGCCACAGTGACTGGATCATTGTAAAAACCCTGCAGTTGTCTCCTGCAGATGGCACGAGCCAGGTCCTGCAACGATGCTTCCCTCTACTAATCCCGGAAAATGACAGTAAAGTCGACTTGGGATGACAGACAGAAATACTGACCTGAAACAGCAGCCTTCATGGAGCAGGCCTAAAACGTTGGTGACACTCGGCAATTCTACCAAATTATTTGCCAATTTGGTGGTAAGCCCTCTACACTGAGTGGCTCTGTTAGTGATGTGAATAGTGGTCTTATTGGTGATAATGACCAAGGGCGATTCCTCGCGTGGCGCTACGAGCACCATCTCAACTTCGATTATTTGACCATCACGCCCCCTCCCCTGAAGCCTATGCAGTGTCGAGCGATCCCTACTTCTGAAGGGGAAGTTGCTAATCCAATACAGAGGCTGCATAATAATAAGGCGCCCGCAGAGGATGGCATTCCCAATGCAATTTACAAATCGTCCGTCGTAGTTCGGGCGCCCTAGTTCCAAGAGGTGGTCACGCAAGCGTGGAAAGATGAGGTAGTTCCTAATGACTGAGAATCGGGCATCCCTGTGCATGTCTTCAAGAAGGGGGATAAGATAAATTGCAGGAACTGAGGCGGCATAGCGCTCATAGACGTTGCTACAAAGGTCTTCATTGCTGTCCTTCTCACACGATTCCAGTCTGTGATGTCTCTAGAAAGGGGCCCGATCAAGCCAGATTCCGAACTGCACGCGGATGCGCGGATCATACATTGACATTGAGGTTCATTCTGGAATTCCGCCATAACTGCCAGTAACCGACGGCCGTCTGCTTTGTTGACTTCGCCGCTGCATCAGATTCCGTCCATTGCGGATCCATTTGCGAAGAATTGAACTAGTTAGTGTGCTGGCCAAAATCGTCACCATGATCAAAGCCTACTATCGCTCCACGACCGCACGAGTTCTCGTTCATAACAATATCTCCTAGCCGTTCGATATCCGATCTGGAGTTTTACAAGGTTTATCCTGTTGCCCGTTCCGTCCAACTATGACATTGACTGGATTCTCTGGATGGTCATACACAGTTTTGATGGTGTAAAGTTCGCACCCGGACACCGGCTGACTGATCTAGACTACTCTGACGATATCGCCCTTTTAGCCTCAATCTTTGGCGACTTACGGTCTGTGGTGTCCCGAGTGAATAGAGTCGCTACTTCGGTCGGTTTATCCATAAACGCTGGGATGACCAGATTGTTTTCGAGCTGGGTTCCTGTCCAGGAGAAGGCATCCCTGGGGAACTGCCAAGTACTTGAAGAATTAGACAATTTCAAATGCATCGGAGCGAGGCTGCTGCCCAAGGAGAGAGTAAGGACGACATTGTATCCCAAAATGATGCTCCTAGCAGGGTCTTATCAATTCTTAGAAAGTGCCTATGGACCCGACGCAACATCTCCATCACTATGAAGATTTGCGTGTACTGTGCATCCGTTCGATCAGTGGAAAATTGGCGCCTGCTACCTGAGGACCACCCTTCGGGTGAGGTACGCCGACTCAAATGAAACAGTCCACACTCGTCGCCACAATATCTCGACGATATCTTGGGCCATCCAAGGAAGACGAGTGAGGTGATTCGGACACGTTCTCCGTCGTTCTCCTCAAGAGCTCAGTTATGAAGCCCTCGATCGCCGAAGAGGCGGTCAACTCAAGACTTGGCTCCATGCGGTTCATTGAGAAATGGAAATCATTCTTGGACCTTCTGTGCTCCGCCTCCGTCACTGAAAAAGGTGGGTCGAGCTGCCCAGATCAGCTGCCGCAAATCGCCACGCGTGGAGGTAGAATACGCGACATCGAGATCAGATATAATCATGGCCGCACTGAGTACAAATATGTTCGTCGACCCAATCATGAACTCCTACCGGCTTACGTATGAAGGCAAGTGCTCCAGCTCCGAGAGTATGTATGAGAAAGAATGAGACTGCTCGAGCAAGGCAAGCCGAGAATTTATTGAAACCTGGGCCTCGAATGAGAACTCAGTCAATCAATGTATCAATCTGGCGCCGGTATACAGGGCCGTGCGCAGTCAACTCCAGAGCCGCGCCAGTGATCACTGATTGCTTCTTATCTCCTTGAACTGCGCTTGTTTTTTTTGCTACTGTCACCTCTGACGATGGACTCCTGTTGGGTTTCGGGAGCTTTGAATAAGAAGCTAATTCTTCCGGTCCTAGAGAAGTTTTCTTCTCCCTTGCCAAATCTTAACGCAAATGGTTGATTACACGTTGCTGTTTATATCCTTCGATTCGATTACGTCATTGTAACCACCGATTCAAGAATAAAACCCTACTTGCAGCCTATATACGGGTCCACCCCTACCAGTCAACTGCGCCCTCTCCCGCCTCCGGTCTTTTTGACTATGCCTTGACACCGAGTCCAAATGGGAAAGGGCAGAGTGCGGTAGACGCTCTGCAAGTCTACTACCACTGTAAACTAATTCGCACGCAAGTCACCGTCCCTGTCCCCACCTTACTGTGGAGTACCCGGTGGACATCGTCGGTCACGACGGTCGAACTGTCATTGTCGCGTAACGCTCAGTTAACCGCATCAACGAGTCGAGAGCGGCCGTAGGGTTACTACGTGGGTCCCCGTCCCCACGATACACCTTACATGCCTGTGGTACATCTACACATTTAGGTACAGCCTGGTTTTCCATACTCGGTGTGTCATAACAGTGTCTGCGGTAACCGTTGCCCCATCTCTGTTGAACAGGTTTCAAGATCCTAGATGACAACAACAACAAGGACAGTGATGTCGACGATGACGGTGATGTTGATTTGTGGAAGTGCTGGTGAGAGTTGTTTGGGTAGACGGTAGTTGTTTCTGAGTGACGGACCGAAAACTGCTCTTATCGTTGCATCCAATCAGTGAGCAGACAAGAGTCGCTTCCCCGACCGAAAAAACCGGTTAAGCCATATCATGCCGAACGCAGAATGGAGCAAATTAGGGTGGTTGGCAACATTCACCGTGTCGCATATTCCTCACTATCAACAATCTGACGCGCTTTTAAACTATCACGGTGTGCTAGAGGCCGTGGCTTTGAAGGCTGCCAATCGACAGGATAACTCGGTCCTTCTCCCCCAAACGGAGAGCTAGGTTACAATGGCTTCTTGTTAATGTATCCCCAATGGCACTCCCATTTCAGTTAGGGTCCGAGTCGACCTTATCTTGTTTGTGTGAGATCCTGGTCCATTGTGCTTCGAAAGTCGACTACCGCAATAAACTTATTCCCGCGCACGGCACCGTGCCTTCGCCCACCATGCCGTGCGGCACACGGTGGACGTTGTCATCCGCCATAATCGAGCTGTCAAATGATTCTCATGAGCTAATAAGGCTCCACCCACTGTTCAGCGACCCACATCTTGACTGGCTACGTCTGAAGAAGCAAGAAATAGTAACTATCCGTAAAAAAACGTCGGATTTCGGAAAAAATGGGCCACTTACTTGGGTTAAAGAAACTGTCGCTGCCGGGTGACTGCCTAGTGACGCCGTCGGAGATCACAGACTGAATTGTTTTCGTCTCGAAGGAGATTTGAGCAGATCCGTCACCAGTATTATCACTCACAAGAACTGTTTCCTCACTATCCGTTGCCGGCCATTCAGTTGTCAAGTTGAGTGGGGCGGATGGCGTGGCTGCTGAGGCATGAGGCTGATGGCAACTGCAACAGCAGCCGTCGACGCCTTCGCCACTGTTCCTCGGGGTCTCCTCGGAATCTGAGATGAAGGAGCGCCCTAGAGGGGTGTGGCGCACCATACTACGAGAGGTGCTGGAGGCAAAGGACGTAAAAGAATCCTCCATGTAGGCCGGTCCTATGAGACTGCGCTCCGGTAAACTGGCCTCCTGGGGGTTGCTATAGACATCCCCTGAATTTAGGTCCGCAAGGGTGTCTTTGTTGTTCCACACGTAGCCCAGACGGTCCTGCACGCTGTCCAATTCAATGCGGTTCGCTTGTACACGGTAAATCAGTTCGTGGCAGCCTGTTTCCAGCTTCATGAGGTCATCGCTGATACTGGTTGTCAGGGCTACCAGATCAGAGAAATTAGCCTCTTCTTCCTCGCCAGAATAGAGATGTCCGGAGGGCTGAGATGTCAGGCTGGAACAAGAACCGTCCTGCTGGTTGAGAATTGGGGAGAAAATGCCGATTCCACACACCTCTTCATCCTCTTCCCCTTCCACATCATAAAAGTTTGGAGAGAATATGCGATGTGTGGTAGGAGGAAGCAAGTCATGGCTGAACCAGACACCGTCATCGTCAAGCTCGAGATCTTCCACCTCGGAAACACTGTCCACGGAGTCGTCATTTTTCCCAAAAGTATTCGTGATGAGTTTTTGCGGTACGGAGGTAACGGGGGAACCTAAAGACAATGGTGACGCTGATGGTATCGGTGAGGTACAAGCTTCAACACGCTCTACGCTGACGCCCACGCCGCGACTTTCAAAGATCTTCCGATGCACGGCTAGAACTGCAGCGCGGGCCAGCACAGTTGCTGAGGTGGTGGTGATGAGGAAGCCAGGGCTGCCGGCTTCAGTAGTAGCGGTGGCCTCTGCTGCCTCTTCTGAGAACGTTTTGGTTTCCAGATGCTCTTCTACTTCCTCGACGGTCTGAAGGTTCCCGTCACCCAAGGGGGCCCTTAACTTCTTAGGATAACAGTCCGTACGTAGGCGACTTCTTTGATGACCACAGATGGTTGTGGCGGGTTGTTGTGTTATATGCTGACTGGTGGGCGCGACGCATGCCACAAGCTTGGGGGAACCGTTGTGGCGGCGCGAAAAGGGGCTCGATGGGGTCGTACTGGAAGACTCGGTCGTCGGGGAAGTGGTTCCACTGCTGGCCTCTGCAACTGATTCCAAAAAGACTATGACTTTAGTAAGATGTGCAGTGAGAGACAAGGAAACTAGGTGGTATGGAAGGGTTTGCGAAACAAACACGAACGTGGTAGTAACTGCTGTCTAAGAGTAGTTTTATAAGGCTCTATAACAGTTTAGTAATGGTGATTGTGATCGATCTCGTGGATGCGCGGCATAGTATGCTACGCTGGAAATGCTAGGAAGTTCCGGAAAATGGGAGAACGGACCAGAAGTCGGATTCGTAACACATCAACTTGACGCTGTACTGGTCACGTGAGGAGACGAGACTTGTGTTCACAATGAGCCGGGAGAAGACCTTAAACTGCGATGGTTGGTCACAAATATAGTCAGTGACCGATCTCATGACATGTTAGCCGACATTCTGGAATGTGTTATCGATTAAGAAGGTGGGATTGTGATATTGGTTATCCTGCGCTATAATCCTACGATATTTCGAACTCGCCAGGATGATTGCTTTTGAGTGCACTTCTTTTCGACCTGTAAAAACCGCACTCGGTGAAGAGCGACTACTTAAGTAGCAGAAATTCTTCGCATTGCTTTTCGGCGCCCTTAGAAATACGAATGTATTTTCTAGAAAGCATTCACAAAATATGCTTCCTTTTACTCATTTGGTAGCAAATCACGTCGTCTTCAGATTGTATGCTCGAAGGAAGGGTATCTTCAGGTTTTAAGAAAAGTTTCTGATTTGCTAATAACTTAGAGCTAGATCAGTCGTTGCATTACCATTTAGCGATTTCAGTGTTGAAGGTGTATATTTTCCGCGTAAGTAAAATTATGTATTCTACTATGCCTTTAAGAATACACCATATAAAGTTGATTGATATCTTGACAACCAGCTTTATCATCGTCGAAGTCAACGGTGGTACTTTTTATCATGACATTATGTCATGAATAAAGCCAATTATGTCGGTTAGGACAGGCTGATGGTTATGGTTGTGGTAGTAAGGATTATAGGACAATTAAGGGGGTGAGAACGAGGAATGACGGAAGGAGAGTATGGTAAGAGGAGACGATTAGACAACTTTTCCTTGGAGAAACAAGTCCACATTGACTACTTGTCCCTCAAGCCAAAAGTTAACTGCCCACCGATGGGGCAAAGTAGTTTCAGTAAAATAAATAGGGCAAATTTGGCCATGTAACTGCATCGGCAAAAATCTGGTGCGCATACGTTCATGTCAGGAGAACTGCAACCTCCAAATCTACGGCCCACTCCCCCCTCACAAATATCTATGGTGTGAGGCAAACCCCAGTTGTTCTTAGGTGATCTTTTGGTCCGCAGAGCTGGCCGTTACCTTTTGGTAGAAGAAACGCTAATAAACAATGATGAAGTTCTTCGTTTCTCAGAAATTAAGGGATTAATCCAAGTTATAGATGGCCGGTAAGAACTCCAGATGATCAAAACTCCATCCACGCGTGCACTTTTAGCATCCTTCGCCCAGGCACACAGAGCGCGAACATTCAAAGTCAGTAGTGTCTTAGAAAGCGAGGCAGTCTGTGAAAGAATGGAGGGCTATCTGTCAAGGTGGCTGAGGCCGTGAGCACTGGACGGCCGCCGAGTGAGGGATTCATACCTTTCCATGATGAAAAAACTGACACGCACTAAACTGAGGCGTCTAAATTTTCGGGTGACATCCAGTAACCCAGCCGTGACTTAAATTGCTGACAGTACCCTGATCTTTTCCTGGGACCTGAAGTACTAGGTCATTAGAGTGTAAGCAAATACCTCATAACGAGATTTCCCTGCGCCATTTGGTGAAGAGGCGCCAATGACGTCGACACAGAGCGTGAAGGTCGTCGGGTCCCGTGTTTACCTGCACACTGCGGACGAAAAGCCTGCGCGTAGACACGGTAGCCAACCGCTTAAAAGGGAGGAAGGACGGTGCGTGCGGCAGTCAGTCGATATGCGCCTAGGTGAAGCGCATGCGGAATTCAGTCGGATTGGCCTAAAGATACAGGCTTCCATGCCACAAAAACAATGCGCTAGGACGATGCCGTCACACATTCTAACCACAAATGTGTGTACGTGTGCACGCGTTTGCGATATTTTTGGAAGATGCACAGGAGTGGGAGGCTGCTACTTGTGTTGTCATAAGGTTCGATCCGCCCACTGCAGGGTTGTCCGAAAAACGAATGTGGACTGCGATGTTTTACAAAGAGCCGGTTAGGCTTTAGTCGCCCTGGCAACTGGTAGGGGAAACCGGTCCTCAGTGCTTCAAAGAGACCTTCATCACTCTAGCAGAATCAAATGAAGTGAAGTGCGACAGACACCTGGCATAGTCCAACATCTTGGCGGTTATAAAATTCCTAAAGATAGAGAGTAAGAAACAGAATACCAGAAGGGCAGAAGCGTTTGCCCATACAATAACCGAAATCAGTTCACCTTGAGTCAAAACAAGGCACATTAGTGTAGTGACTCCTTGTGGAAAGTGACGTTTCCCATTTGTAACCTTTGATATAGTCAGGTCATTGTTTCACCGGGACCTCGACAGTTCCATTTTCAACTTCCTCATTTTCTCTTCTGCCATTGATAGTGAATTTTGCCCAAGATGTAACTTCTCTCCAAAATCAGGCAACCCTTTCCATCCATTCCACGGCCACATGTACGGCGAGTTCAGGCTATTTCTTCATCTAGCCCAAAACGTAATCATTACTTTCTGGTTTCATGCCATCCCTGGTGCAAAGGCTCGTGGCTGCATCGCCAGTGTGCGACCAATAGCCCTGGCAACTTCATGCCCCAGTTGTACTTATTTATGCTTGCGGCAGTCACTTTTTGGTCGCTGCCATCGGTGCACCAACAGCGACTTCTTCATTCAGGTCGTTAATGCCTGCTAAATCGTTATCGTCGGTTCCCGTTTTTCCTTATTGGATCTCTCCCGACTATTCTACCAAATCCCCAACACCCGGCTGGGCGTTTTGATGGCGGTCGTCAGTATCTCACTGGTCTCTCTCATTTTCTGCATATGTCGTCTGCACTCCGCATCGCCGCTCAAACCGCGAAGGTCCATGGACAGTGTTCCCTGGCCTGCGCGCGGAGGCCGTCTTGGCCGCTGCCCCATCTATCCCTACTCACCCTAGAGCCACAGAAGAAGTAGGGGTTGGCAATCCGATGTGGTCTATTCACTCATGTATGGAGTCCCATTGGCTGAAATCGCGCAACCCCTGAGGTTGGAGTTTTGTCAATAATGGTGGTGTGGGTACGATAACTCAGTGGCGAAACACTCAGCTCGTACTAACAATTGCCAGTTTGGCTCCGTCTTGCGCCAAACGTTGTTCATTAAAGCGAACTCCTTTTTGCCCATAGTCGAGTGGTTGGCCTAAGCATGGTCAACTAAAAAGTGTCCCAGTGATTTCGGCCGATAATCGAGAGGACGCCAAAAAACACTACGAGTAGCGTGAAAAGTTGGGCAAGTCGAAAAGAGGCTAAAAACATTAGCCGAAAATGACGGTAAAATACGGACTCCTCAGCTCCTAATCAGGTGAAGTGTGTACCAGCTTTTTATAATGCTCTTGTCATAAGATGAGGTGGCTTGTAGAAAACGCAAGGACTGAAACCGACTTAAACACACGAGGCATGCCGTCTTTAGAATTTTCAAGTGCTATGGGCGAAGTACCTAAAAAATAATTTATGCAAATCCGTTGATTTAGGATGGTCAGAGCTTGTTCTACTAACCGAAGAGAGCGCGATCTGCATCCCACAGACCGATAGGTAGAACCTAGAAGTGCTATCTTTGCTAGTCTAAAACTGGTGACTGAAAGCAAGTCAACACAGGATGGTTGTAAGCTCACAGACGAGAGCATGCTTAAGGATCAGAATTTCAGTACTTGATGAGTTAACTGACGCAAGTTTAAGATGGTGTATCTCAGCTTCATGGGGTTTCTGAAAAGCTGTCAGAGCTGCGGTGCAAGCAAAACTCGCTTGAACCGACGCAAATATCACTTAGCGTACTACAGTTAATCCAAGATGGTTGGGCAATCGTGCTAGCATACTGGTTAAGATGGAACTTCAGCACTGACCGGCAGTAGCAAAAACTGGACTCGAAATCCACCCCTGAAGAAAAACAATAGCACGTGATAAAAAAACTCAAGGTCGGCCAAGACGGCGCACAGATTATGCATTCAAACCAGAAAAGCCGGCGCTGTCGAAGGAAAAACACAAGTAGTAAATTGCGGAGGTGACTGGTTAGGAGTAGCCCACGGACGCGGAGAAGCAGGCAGACTTAAAGTAGATGTGAAAAAAACGAAATCGAAATAGCGACAGATAACATTAGAATACAAAACGTAAAAGCACTTAGACGGATAGATGGAAGTCAGTCTTAAGTAGAAAATGTTGCGGCTAGAATAAGCAGAGTGAGCATGGGAGTGGTTTCTCATTTGGACCTCACTCACCAATTCTGGCGCTGAGAGGTTCCCTAGTGGACGCAACGGGAACGTCATTCGGCCTCTGCGGACTGGCCGCGATTCCGGGGCTTTCGTTGCATCTATCTTCCCCACAGCCGACAAATCGGCGATGTTTGGCTTTCTGTTTGCTGATTGCAGCAGCCAGCTCAAGACCTGACAGACGAGAGATGTTGGCCGAACACAGTTCCACTGACAGGGAGCCTGGAGTGTGTCCAACCGAGACCTGACTCCTACAAATGCCGGCATTAAGGCGCGAAGGCGATGGCCAGCTATAAGTATCTGACTGCGGCTGGTGTCCGCACTTGGATTCGCTGTAACTGCGTTGGCGACGGTCGCTAAAGGGCAAGGAATATTCGCCCGAGGAAGCCAAGTAGCAAAGTATACAGGGCTGTGAAACAGACGGCCAGTGATGACAGAATCCGAGGGCATTTGTGGCGTCGGAGCGCTTCCCGGGACTGGTTGTCTGCGACTGGAGCACGGCCGATGATGAGGGGTGGGAACAAAGGCATCTGTGGTCCTTCGCTGTGGCAGCGTGAGCAGTAAAGAAGGCTGGAGTTGTAGCGTCGGCGGCGGCTGCACTGGTGGGCACTACCGATCCGCTCATAAGATCCTGTGCATGCACCTTTTCTGCATCAACCGCGCGAGCAGGCGAATTAAGTGACTTTTTGTAGCGCAGAGCAGCGGCCTTGAGGATCTCCGCAATTACACTGGATTTGCTCTTGAGATCGGAAATGCTGCCATGGAAAGACGTCACATCGGTGTCCTGTGAAAAACATAAATGCAGAGGCAGGAAATCAGTCTCGAAACAGAAATTTGGGTCCTGAAGACACAGAGCGGACATCTATCTCTAACCTCGTTGACTAAATTAACAAGAAGTATGCAAATGTCAAGGTTGAGAGGGGCGATGAGGCGGATGTATGGCCTTTTGATAGTTTTAACTACAAGCATGGTGAATTGTGAGGACAAATAAAACTGGAGGTCGTCAGGCCCGTCAGCTTGGAATTCACCACACGAAGCTTATTCTTTTACCCTGATAAAAGTAATTTACCTCTACGACTCAATTACGCTTAAGTCGAACGGCTGCGTATTCGAGGTGGCCTAGTAGCCCAAATTTTCTTCCGAACGGACAGGTCACGGTCCATAATGGATGCAACCTACTGAGCCCATGAAAATCTTTAAAAAAAAACCTGTGGAAAAGTCACAAAATTCGCATCGTTGCCTAGGTTCGAATTTACAAGAATACAGTACGGATAGGGGCCGCAATTAAAAAAAAGCTCGAGTTCAATGTCAAAAAGTATCCATACTTCAAAAGCAAAACATTATGCCACCTGGTTTGTCATATGAGCACGACCTCACGTGTATACATGGTGGCACGCCACCTCGCAACCGAACATTTCACCAGTCAGGGAAGGAAATCGTGCCTGGAGGAAGCTGCAACTCAGCAGATGTTCCACTGTTGTTTTTTTACTCTGGGATGGAGTCAACTATTTTTTCTGCAAAGCCCTAATCAACGGAATCGAGTCTACGTTGTTTTGGAGAAAAAACATCCTAAAGACCAACCCTTATGAGTTAGTATTTGTTTTAACTTACTTGAAGCAAATGATCTTAAAATTCGTTAAAAAATGACAGTAAATCTTACCTGGGAAGCCCGCATAAACGTTCAAAGCTATTCGGGAACTGACAGAACTACTACAACCTTAGCTGTTTACCGCAGTATATTGGAAGTAAATGTAACGAACCAATTTGAACTGAAAGTGTAGACGTTCTGTTTAAGTTGACTGTAATTACAGTCAGTGATTAACCTCATAAAGCGTTAGCTGAAATTCTGAAATGCGTTTTCAATGGGGAACTATTGCACTAGTAAGGTTGTAATACTGACCATTGTGCGGCATAATCCCACGATATTTCGGACTCATCAGGAAGTTGACTTTTGAATGAAGCCCCTTTTCGGTCGCCCACAAAAAACTTAGGTAGTATGTATTTTTTTTCTATTGATTTTCGATGCTTGCATAGACTCCAATATAATCTATGGAAAACATGCACACAAATATTCTTCCGTGCATTCATTTGGTAGCAAATCATATTTCCTTCAAATTATATACTTGCAAGGTTGCCTGTTTGCCTCAAAAAAGTTACTAATTGAGATTTTTCAAGACCGTAAAATGTCCATTCATACAGCATCGTATCTGTCAGTCTATTAAGGCTCCTCATTAAGTATACAGTATAGTCCATATAAATTGTAAGACGGTATAGACTCTATATGGTGGCTTCTTAATGGCATGGAGGACTGTATGATTTTCCTTACGTGTAAAGTGTGCGACTTGTAGACTGAAAGCGCTGAAAACAAATGCAACGGCAGATCGGGCTCCAAATCATTCGGGAATAGAAAAACTTTTTAAGACCGAAAGGTGCCGTTTTGGGGGGTATAGAACTTGAAGAAGACGTGGCTTGCTGCCAAAAGAGTGCAAGATGGAATATTTTTGTGCCCGTCTTCCATTAATTATACTTGAATTTATAAAGGCAACAAAAGTTAACGGAAAAAATACCCCCAGCTCAAGTTTTCTATAGGCAACCGAAAAGGGGTGCATTGAACAGCAAACATCCTAGTGAGTCCGAAATATCATGGGATTATGCCGCACGATAGCCAATATTACAACCTTACTTACGTAATTATTCCCAATTGAAAGACGCACTTCAGAATGTCGGCTAGCATTTCATGAGATTAGTCACTGGCTGTACATTCAGGTCTGGCGGGAGATGCAGGAGTCGCAGCATTATTGTGCGTGTGGCGACACTTCCTCTTCTTTTACGGGGAATCTGCGAGCTATTCCGCTATCAATTTGTTTAAAAGAAAGCTAGCAAGAGATCCGAATTCAACTTAAAATATACATCTGTATTCAAAATCTGTTTCTAATCCCCAATATTAGGTCAAAATGGCCCACGCTAGCAGTGAGTTAAGCCATCATTAGGCTGGAAAGACCAAGTAAGCACCTAAAGGAGACAGGGTAAAATAGCAGTTGCGGCCAAATAAACTACTCAGTACATCTCTTTAGAAGGACGCAGTGACTGTCGTAAGAACATCAATAATCCAGGAAGGCCATGGAAAATAACAGTGATTGACGACAGACTAAGTCTTCCCCTGATGTGGAGAGTACCCGTTGGAGCAGCTGGCCAGGTCAATAACGCACACCGGGAGAGAGACGCACCTGAGTTAAAGTCAAAAACTAGGAAATGACCTCACCAGAGGAAACAATGCGGGTTCCCACGAGAGGTAGGGCACTGGCTTGCCTCAAGAACAGAAGGCCCGAATTTGAGCGCCAAAGAAACAAGAAGCTTGCTTGCTGCCAGAACATTTTATGGACAGGTAAGACAAGGCCCAGCTCGCATCACTGTGATAGCATGAGAGGAGTATGAAGAAGGGATCACTCGTGTTTTTAAGCACGCCACTTCGTATGTGACGCCTGGCGAAGTAGTGGCATGGCATGAGCATGCATGGTTTCCGACGGAACTTACTTCCTTCTATCTATGGGCAACGTTACTGATGTTAAATGCAACGGGATGGATACAGAGGTTTTTACACCTGCATCATCCACTCAGATTCTACCAAATTCTCCAAATTTATTGAACTGCAAACGCAACCGACAGCAGTTTTTTTAATGTAAAGAAATATATGGTGTTGCATCGACTAAGTCGATAATTTGTCATGGATCCACATGGGTAGACACTTCACTAGATGAAGATAAGACTAAAGGCGGAAAGCTCCAAAACCAAATAGGACATAAAGGTAAGCACAGTAAAGTTTTGGTGGCGAATCGTTAGGGAAGAAACCCAGAATATGATGATGTATGTTGGATCCAGACAGTCCAACCGAATCTGTGTCTTCAGCGCACGCGATTGCGAAGGCCCAGACGCCTACGAAAATGTCACCTTTTTCGCCTACCATCTGAACTACACAGAACCTCAGGCAGGCGGAGAGGAGTGAAATCATAGCCGAATGTCCTCCAAAGACGTCATTAGCATAAGTTAGTCAGCACTACCGACTGGAAGCTCTGATGTAGTGGGTTGATGAATTCAAGCAGTAGTTCACTAGTCGACAGGTGGGGAGACAGCAGGTCCGGTCTGTTATCGGATACGGTAATATCCAGAATGTAATGCAAACCAGTAGGACGTGCAAATGCGTGGAAACGACTGATGAGTGGGTAAGATGCCCGCCTACGTTATACAGACTCCGTTTTTAAAAGCCACCCAGGTCCTGGCTGTCGTAAGGTGCCACGAGCCACCGGTATTAACACGTTTTTGCGCACAAACGTTGACGAGAGGCACGCAGACAAGATATGAAAAGATATCATGGTGTGTTGGTGAGTCACCGTCTGTTCTTCTCGGTGAAATGGTCACGAAGAGTGAGTAGATGCAGAAATAGTCCAGGTAAATTGTGTAGGTCAGTCAGCTCTCGGCGATGCGATGATCGAGAGTTCAGCCGTCACAAGCAACGGCTGTCCCGAGGGGCGAGCAACGGTGACTTACGATCGGGTTTGTTTACAATAAGGCAGTTTCGCAACACCTACCTTAGCCCCTCTTTCATACCGACCATGTCCTAACAAGATCTGGCCAAGACGAATAGGGATGGATGGCTTGGACCACTTCTGCGAGTACCACACGCGTGCCTACACTTAAGTACATACGAACCAGTCTTCAAATGAGAGGTCCTCGGGTCCCACATAAGTGAGGAAGGAGTTACTGAAGTATGGTTCTCAGTCCTCAATAGGACCGAGTGTTTCAGTCGATTGATAACCTCACAGGTCACGGCTGTTGGCGTGCCTTGATGATGTTACAGCGTCTTTGATTGTTTATAATGATGAAGTAATTACTGGATCTGAGTTGGGTTGACCTCACTCTCACCTTCCTCTACGAAACTAGCAGAAAATCCGAGTTATTTCGGCTCAAGTTGAAGTCGGGGGCTGTGACCTCAATGGTTAGAAGCCAGCGCCCAAAACACGCCACACGCAAACATCTGGCTCTTCTTCACCCGCATAAATGGCCGCAAGTACCAGTCGGCATGTCCAGACACATAACGTCAGTTGTTCCCGGACATTTAGAACAATTACAGGAGACGATCCGGAAACTAGCATTAGGACAGAGGGATTCCAAGGGCACGTCGCTTCGAACTTAGCGAAACTCCAGCAGGGAAATCGGAGGTCTTCACAGTAACTTCCTAAAGAGTTTGGCAGACAATACTTTGACGAATTTAGGTTAACGGTGCATTATAGTTATCCTGTAGCATGAAGAAAATAATCTAAAAACCATTTGAGCAAAAGGCAGACTTACCACGAGAAGCCACTCCAAGAGCTTATGTAGTTTCAAAATACTTAACGCAGCCAAACTCAACGCGAGGGAGACAAGGTAAACGAACACCCGCGTCCGAGTGTCTGAAACGGAAACAGAGGCTCCACTTTGGATAATGGTCAACAAATAATGTTAACACTTAAGAAAACAAGCCAGGATACCAAATTCCATAAACTGACTGGGGTTAAATGGACATCTCAAAGGCGTGGGTACAAAGCGCCTTGGGACCTGCGCAGGAAATTCGCAGTTCAACGGCAAAACAGGCCTTGTTCATGGATATGTGCAGACTGACCCATATTTTAAATTTGTATGAATAAGACTGGGCTCTCGACGAAATGTGTGTTGATTGATGGCAGCTATGTAAAAAACAGATCTCCACGTGAAAAAAGTGGAAAACGGATGATATTTCGATCCCTTTTGGTCAGGATACACGTGAAATCAGTCTAGTTTAAAATTCGCTCGTAATCGCGTTGATCCGGCCTAAGTGTCACTACTTACCAATAGAGGCAAGTAAAGTTTGCGTCTACGCCTTGGCCAGGGATAATTTGTATTAAATATAACTAACGTTCTTCGGAGTTTGTGAAAATTCCTTAAGGCAACACAAAAAAGCAAAAATGCATACTCTATGTGGCTACGCTGCCAAGGCGGTAAAACCAAATAAACCCGAAAAATTGCGACCGAAAGTCCTCCCAGAGAAAAAAAACGAGTACTTGTGTCGCATTACTTTATACATTTGGAATCGATGTAATAACACGGATACTACTTGGTTTCAATTGATAGTAAAGTAGCAAATACTATGCCGCGAGTCACACGATCACAATATCAATTGGAAAGACGAATACCTGATTCTATAGGAAACGGTTGTTTCGAGGTGCATCGTGATACCAGTTCAGGTGGGCTGACAAGAACTGCCAATTCAATGTCTTCGTTTCTCGTAGTTGACGCTGGTAGAGCAGCTTGGGCAGTCTTAACTCTCGAATGGAGACGCGATCGGCCACGTCCGCTGGTGGAGATGTTGTAGTTTCGGGAGCCCATTTTACAGGACACAATCTCCTTTTTGCCTTCCATGGGAGAGGGGGATGATATTTTGAACTTGCACAGGGAGAACCCCCATGTTAGTCTGATGGTCCTTACCATCCTACAAACAAAAACGGCACCTAGACATCAAAAAATTCCCATTTGATGTACGATACAAAGCTTCACTAGATAAGTTAGAGACTCCTTTTGGTCGACGACCTAACTAATTCGTAACCTTCTCTCTAAACCAATTAAATGCTCCAAAAATGTGCCGTTAGCAATTTCAAAACACACGTTTCAAAGAACTTGGAGTCAAAATCAATAGTTAAACCTAGAACTCAAACAAAAATCCAGGATTGTAGACACGTAGGACCGCAGACCACACAGATCATTGAGAAAATTCGCAAGAGAGATACTAATCATGCATTCATGAAGAAGCTGTCTACACAGTCTCTATGGCCTGTCATTACCTCTACATAAGTAATTATGAGAACTTTGAGGACTGTATTAACTACTGCAGTTACTTCCGATGGGTTTTTAATGGATCTTTCATACGGCCACATGGTAAGAAACAGGCAGCACACAATATGTGCAGGATTACACATCAAGGAAGACGATGTAAGAAGGCCCAGTCCCCTAGCTTCATTCGCTTTATAATCGAGATGAGCATAACTATCAGCTGTCTCAATGCTTCTTCATCACAGTTGTTGCAGACCACTCACCGAGACATCGCAGCGGCTGCGGGACTTAGAAACTTTAATTTGCCGACTACAGTTAGCACATACAAGTTTCGTCCGCGTAGACCACCGTCAGTGAACACACGGGCAACTGGCCGCCCTGACGCTGGAGCAACGAATAAAAACAAGCCTGACGTCAAGAAATACCTAAATAAGGTATCGACCACCGTCTCTCATACCGACGATGGGGGCCTCTGGTTACTGGGAGAATTCACTGCCTGAGACCGTATTTCGTGGGTCGATAGCAAATACAAGATTGTATTTATGGAAACCTCTTGTCTTGCATACTTACCTCTAGAAACCTAACTATCTTAGTGAGACCAAAGCACATTCCCGCCGCAGTGAAATGTGAGTCTCTAGACCATTTCAACAACAGGGTTATTAGCGGAAAGTATCGTTTGATAACCACAAGACTTTACTCAGTTGAAAATAAGTTGCCGCTCAAAGCAAGAAGCTTATGATTTACAAAGACGTTTTTTCTACTGTCACACGAGGCGAGCCGAGTGGCAAACAATGCGCAGCTGTCTCAAAATGAGCAATCATGCGGCTGAAGGATGTTCTGTGTGGCCGAAGAATTCCGAACCAGAGTGGTCGCATCCGGAAGTGACCAGCAGTAACCGTTCACTTTCCGTTAAGCGTGGTCAAGGACGAGTTCCAGTGTTTACTAAAATCCGACTCCTGTCGTTTCCCATTGTTCGCTGCCTAAGCCCATTCAACCGTACCATCCACTAAACGTCGGCACATTTTTTCTCTACTTCGCTCACTTAAACCTATTTCATTCGTCGGAACCAGAAGAACTTTGAGATTGGCCATCTTTTGGAAACGACACATTCTTTACGACTTTTACTGATTAATAAGCCACATGCATCTTCTAGAAGCCGCTTTCGAAAACAGGTGTTTGTTAATTATTGCTATGGCGGGGTAAATTCGCTCCACGTTACCAAAGATGTGGTGGGGAGATGGCACCCTCTAACTCTCCAACTGGGGAGTTCGAGGGTAGAGCAGAGCTTTGTCACTTGGAATGCGAAAAACACGACAACTCTATAGCGCCGCGTCACGCATCGACACAATCGCCATGGCGGGCTTCAGGAAAATCGGAAACCTCTTACAGACATAAAGTTGGTCTACTTAGGACAATGAAAAACCAATTTTACATGTTTAAAAAATTAAGGGCAATTCGACGTTCAGTCAGCTAAGTAGAGCAAGAGTCCAACCATCAAATCACCTGGACGAACACCACTTTTCCATCAATTCCATGCCAAGGTTAAGCATTAAATACGGTATATGCCTCTAGATTAGCTGTCAGAAGCCTGATGTGCCAGGCAACCGGCAGGGCATCTCTGATAACATTGCGGTAGCAAGTGAGCTGTCGGTTCATGTCTTGCTGGGCACCTGACTGCCGATAGGGCATTCAAAATCGCAAGGGACAAAGTCGCCTTTCGGGTTCATTTGGCGTTTACAGTCGATATGGAAGTCTAAGGCACTCCACAAACAATCCCGCCCGCCAGGTCTCGTTGTCTGAACATGGGACGATGCGCGTAATCGACATTTGCACGCGTCAATGAGGCCATCGAAGATTCCGACGCCGATCGTGACGATGGACTACTGACCAGATTGTGCCGAACAACATATTATCAAAACGACGTCTACGATAGCTGGCAATGAGCTAGAGCAATGTCTTCAGGGACAAAGGCATTTGTTCCGGGAAAATCGACGTGTGACAGTAGAAAAAACGTCTTTGTAAATCATAAGCTTCTTGCTTTGAGCGGCAACTTAGTTTCAACTGACGCGGACGAAACTTGTATGTGCTAACTATAGTCGGCAAATTAAAGTTTCTAAGTCCCGCAGCCGCTGCGATGTCTCGGTGAGTGGTCTGTAACAACTGTGATGAAGAAGCATTGAGACAGCTGATAGTTATGCTCATCTCGATTATAAAGCGAATGAAGCTAGGGGACTGGGCCTTCTGACATCGTCTTCCTTGATGTGTAGTCCTGCACATATTGTGTGCTGCCTGTTTCTTACTATGTGGCCGTATGAAAGATCCATTAAAAACCCATCGGAAGTAACTGCAGTAGTTAATACAGTCATCAAAGTTCTCATAATTACTTATGTAGAGGCCATAGAGACTGTGTAGACAGCTTCTTCATGAATGCTTGATTAGTATCTCTCTTGCGAATTTTCTCAAAGATCTGTGTGGTCTGCAGTCCTACGCGTACTGGTGGGAGAAGGCTGTCAGTACGCCTTCCAAACACTGGAGAACAGGTGCAAAGACGAATATTCTACTTAGATAAAACGAAATAAGTACAAAGTCACTTCGTATTAACGTCTAGTTGGACACCTACGTCTTTTACTTGGGTTTTACATCTGGTGCCCGAAGCGTATGACACACAAACCCCTCCCGACCAATCAAATTCGAAAGATTACCGCGGTTTTCAAGTTTACGATGTCACAGAACCGTTAGGAAATCAAAGAATACGCACTTCCCTGAATAATTCTACACCTCATTCAAGTGAACTCTCCTAACAAGCATGGATGATATTCAACACCCTTTCGCCTTCCAATCAGAATGCCGTTTCAAGGTGCATAGATATTACGCTGTACGCCAAGCGTCGTGTCTAAGTGAACGTGAGGACCAAATCTTCCTCAAAAATCGCGGCCAGTCAGCTTACCAAATTTTGTCAACATAGTTTTTACCTATAGGAAACTGCGAAAACCTTTCTCTGTATACCTTTAACTTGATCACATCTCTTCGTAATGAGTGATATTCGGTGTTATACATACCCCTCGATTTCGTGCGGACTGACAAAAATGCGCATAAGACCAGAATGGTTTCAAATGCGGCCCACATTCAATAACTAAGCCCTACAGAACTGGGACCGGTGACTTACCTCAAGAAGCCTGGCCATCAAAGATTCATCAAACTTTCCTCCCCGGTTATTTGCATTCATTGCGAGACGTAGGGAGGTTGAGAACGGCGTGTACGGATACATGTTTGCCACATGCGCCTCGTGAATGTGGTGGCTGTTCCGCACAGCCCTTAGCTGACACTAAATTCCCATCCGGGGCCCGTGAAATTACGCTGCCCCTAAAGGCCACTCCCCGGTAACCGCCCCGACCAGCGGCCTAAACTAAATAGAAGCATCCGGTACGTGGGCCTATGTGTTCAGTGCGTTTCATATGTCCGGTGGAGTGGTTTCTGGTTCCATTCTTCCTCCAAATTTAAACCTGATACGGAGTGGACAACAGTGGCCCTCAGGCGGTTCAATATAGATCGGCCGTAATCATACTAAGCAAATGCCGTCACCAACAATGTAATTCGTCAGGCGTCGCAGGTGCCTCCGCAACCTTATCTGCGGATATCACTGTTTATTTTGCTCGTACCTGGGATTCTGGAAGGTTCTCTTGCCAAATATTTGGAAATCATGCCATTGGCAAACAGATCTTGACTTCTATATGCAAATCTCTTGGTCAAAACAATCAGACAAACAACTGCCACTGTTCACACACTCTCCAGCCCCCTAGAGTGACTCGGTTAATTCTGAAAGTCTGAAATTTCCGTTTTCTTTTAGACAATCCACGGAGTAACTGACCGGAAATGGGCGCAACGCTGACCGTTCGAGAACTGGCGCGTTACAAGTTGCATTTCCTTCTCCTCAACGAGACCTAATTTTGCAATGGGAGCCGGTTGGGGGACGTGAGTGCTCGCCACACATTCCTTTGTGTTGGCTGCTCAAAGGCAGGGTGGCGCGATGCTGGGGTCGCCTTTGACATCCCGAACTACATGTGTATAGCATATGTGTATTTGAAGAGCTAGGGGCAGAGCCCTTGATGACCCCATTTATACACAATGATTTCGCACATTCACATTCAAAATAAAGTTGCAGACTGTTAGAATTTTACTGATTTACAGTACAACATTAATAACAAAGATGCGCGTCTGTTATCTGCGAGTCAGTACGGGAAAATGTGTACGAAAAATTGTTCTAAAAAGCTGGCTGTGAGTAGTCATGTTTTCAACATCTATCTTTGTCGAAAATCGCGCAAGTTTCTCTTTAAACATGCGTATTGTGGCGGCCGTCGCGATTTTACTTGGTAGCAAAGTTTATGGTCGAACAACCCGTCGGCCGATCGAAAACTTCCTACGGCCTATCGCCTGTGTTCGCTCTTGCTTGTGTAGGGACGATGTCGTAATTGATTTGTAGTGGCAAACTCAAAGAAGTCCTCCGGCCTCAGTGAGCAACCTTGGCCACAAGCAATCCGGAATGTCCAGAGCAGATACCG